GCTCCGCTTGGCCACCGCAAACCAGGCTGCGGCCAGCAGTGTGGACCCTGACGCGCTCTCCCGGGTCCTGCCTCTCCCCGCTCACTTCCCCAGAACCTGGGGAGAGGAAAACCAGTGCTGAAAACTTGGAGCAAGTTCAGTAGCTTGTTGTCGGCGCTGATGGGGAAGAGAGGGAAGACCTGCATTTCCTGACCAAAGGGAGACGGTCAGTCCCTGGAAGGGTCAGCCCTGGCACTGGCCCTATCACGGACGAGGAACAGAAGTGAAGGGGGGCTACAACATTATATTGCACGTTATGAAAATATCTGACCAGAACACAAAGTGGCCCCTGCAGGCCAGGCTAAAACGAAGGCCTTAGTGGAACGGCCGAGTCGCTAAGCGCGGACGCACTGCAGCGCAGCTGCCGTGACCCTGGCTGAAGTGAAGGACAGGGCCAGGGGGAGGTGGCCCCCTTCCTCCTGAGAGGACACTCATAACTGAGAAACAGGAGAAGGTGCGCAGAGCAACCCAGGGTCAGATGCAGTAAAACATCAGTACAAAACGTGTAACCCGACTCCGCACAGGAATGTGAACAGCAGGGTGGGGGGGACGACAAAGGAAGGGGTCAACCAGAGAAGGGAGAGATTTCTGCAGAGCCCAGCTTCAAACCTCTCACGAGGAGGAGGGCAGCCGGCTCCTGGGTGGTACCGGTGGGGAGAAGAGCCCGACCTGAGGCAGATACGGGCACGAGTTGCTCTCAGAAGCCAGGCCAGCAGGCCCCCGTGGTCGGAGGTGAAGGAGGGTGAGCCAGCTGAGAGGCAGGCGGGAGGGCCGCCAGGGAAGCGCCGGATGCCATCGACGTGGTCTCTATCTGATAAGATAGCACACGGCAGCCTGGGAAGTTACACCGGGGCTAAGAGTCTCTCTAGGAGAGGACCATCAAAGCTCAGAGAATGGCCTGGCACACTGGGGGCATGTGGCCCAGGGGAAGGGCAGTCAAAGCTAAGCCAACGAGGAGCTGAAGTCATAGGCTGGAAAGGAACAGTCCAGAGTCTGAAGGGAGGAGGGAAAAGGCAATGCCCTGAAGAAGACCCCACAGGGCAGGGGCGCTGCCTACATCCTACATGTTACAGGGAGGGGAGGGCGTTGTAAACCCCCAGGTCCTCCAGGGAAGCCTGATGTGTCACTAACGTGCTCGGCGGCAGAGCTGTCCTAACCTTGGCCAACAGAGGACGTCGAGAGGGTCACTGCCAGACCAGACAGCTTTTCAGGCACCACAAATCCGCCTGCCAGTGTCCAGCAGAAATGGACTCCAAGGCACATAACCACAGGTCAACAGGAGCACAATGTGAAATGCTTCCAGCACCTCACAAATAATGAGGACCCGATTCACAAGGCTGACGTTCAAGAAAGTGAAGCAAGGTGGTGATAAAGATATTTCATCAGAGCTCTACTATCACCTATTTTAAGTTCAGTGGCGATATTTAAAATATTTACATTTTCGATTTATAGAGGCCTGCATTTTTCCAGTTTCAAATCAGTTAGCTACACTGAGATAGTCATAGCCCTGGATGACTTTCATCATGTTTCTTTTACGAAATATACATATGCGGAGTATTTTCACAGGTCTCCTCCCTAGAGCCTTGTCAAGTGTGCGATTAGCCACAGAGCCTCGTCCTGAGAGGTGAGGGTCAGTTTCCAGACCTCAGGGGCCACATTGCGGCCGCCCTCCGGACCCAAGGTGCTGGTGCACAGCTGAACATTCTGGGCTTCCTGAGGGTGCTGGGTGGCCCTGCTTCCTGAATCTGATGGGTGTCTGAGTTTCGGGAAGAAGACGAGTTCGATGGTGGATGCTGTTTTCATCTCTGGAACAACAAGACACCTGTATTCACTTAAAGCTCGGCACCTGACCACATCAAACCGTGTCCCTGGAGGCGGAGAGCTCGGAGGGCCGCTCTGAGGATAGAACACGCGGTCTTCCCTCACCAGGGCGACGTGGGTGTTGAGAAGGACCAGCGGCTGGCAGTGGCCTGGGCCAGAGCCACCCTTGACTCTGACCGCCGTGTACAGCAAGAGCTGAACCTCCACCAGAGACGGAGCGTCCACGTCCAGGTTTCCGTGAAGGAAATAAATCAGGTTGACCAGGGTATTCTGGAACCTGGATGACAACTGAACTCCGTTCACCAAAACTAAATCAGGGATTTCCGCCTTCCAATCAAGGGAAAGCTGGACCAGATCTTGCTGGAACAAAAGATGGCTGGTGCAGGCGGCGGCATCGGCCTCAGACGTCAGGACACACAGGAGGTCCCAGCATATATACCGACAGAGGTGTCTGCTGTAGGTAAGTGTGGTGAGCAGGAGACTCTCTGCAGAGCCCAGGAGTGAAACGCTCTGCCCACCAAAGCCGATCTGAACCCCCTGTAGCCCAGAGAGGGGCAGAGCGTGGAGCAGGCCCACGGAGGCTGGGGGATTCAGAACCAGCGCGCACAGGGCTGAGCGGAGCAGCAGCTCACACGCGGGCCAGGGGGTGGGCTCCACGCAGCTGGCGACAGCGAGCCAGTACACACACTGGGCCTCACTCGTGTCGCCCGAAGTCCTGGTAGGGAATCGGCCACCAGCTCAAGGAAGCCTTTCAAAGGGCACTCTGGAAGCTTCAGCATTTGGTCTGGGAATCGCAAGAGCGTCTGCTTAAGCACAGAGCCCGCTCTGGCACCTTCCACCTCTAGGCAGAAGACAGAGCCCAGCGAGGAGCCTGGAAAGTCGGCAGCTGCGGGGCCAGCAGGCAGGCCCGGGGCTCTGTAGGGCACCAGGCTCCCTGCCCACCCGACGGCCCCGACCCTTCCCTGCTGCTGCCAACCTGAGCTTCTTCGGGAAAAGAACGAGCTTCTGGTGACACCCCGGGCGCCTCCAAGAGCGTGTCCAGGGGTAAGAGTTTCAGAAACAGCGGCCTCGCGATGAATGCTGCCGCACGGGAGGCGAGCCCCCAGGGTCCCACAGGCTCCCCGCGTGCCCGCCCGCAGCGGGTGACTACTGGTGTCTCTGTAAAGGTCTGAGACCCGCTGGTAAAAAGATCTCAACCCGCTGCTTCCCTCTGGCCTGACACTCACGGGTGACCCCGGAGAGCTCACTGCCTTGGCCACCACCTCCTCCCCGGCTTCCTGCTCCCGGCAGAGCTCGGAGGCCGGAGCCCTCGCGGGGGACGCTGTGGCTTGAGACACCTTCAGAGAGGACGAGGCAGAGGAGCTGGCTCTGCCTGGTCTGCTCACTCCCGCTGTGCACAGACACTTCCTGGGACGCGCATTGCGGCCAAGTCCAGCTCGACGTGACCCCCGGGCTGTGTTCACCTTCAGGGGTCGTCGGTTCACTGAAATTTTCTGACTCACCCTGAAAATGTCCCTCACCGCTGGTGCTGCTTTCGCTAAGAAAAGAGATTTTAGTTAGATCGACGTGTTCCGGTTGAGAGCCGCCCCTGTTACAATCGCTGCTGTGCGACGGCTCGGGCTCCGAGGACTGAGACCCCCGCTGGCGGGCCCCTCCGCCTGGTGCTGAGGAGGGGGCAGAGGGACCTGAGATGCTCTGGGTCGCGGGCCGGATCCAGTGGTGGTTCTGGTCCACCTTCCTCCTCTCCTCTCGGCTGGGGGCGTCAGTGACTTCTTTGGACAGCAACGGGGCAAGAGAGCTCTTCTGTCGAAAACAGGTGAAATTGGGCTGTGGCACCTTTTGCGATTCTTTTCCACATGAAGATTCTTGTGGGCACTAGTTTCATCGTGTGGAGTAATGCAGAGGCTCAATCGAAAGCCTAAGCCATTCGTGTTGACTGATTTATGATTTCAGAATAGAGGACCTGATTCACACGCAAGGCATCAATTTCCATATTTCATATCTTATAAATCGCCAACTATTTTGATCAAAATATGTTGTATGGGACTGATCCACAGTATCCACTTCTTGGCCTAGTATTTTATTTACTCTAAAATAAACCTTAAAATCTATGATGCAATTTTCCAATGGGCAAGTAAGAGTAATCGGGGCAGACTTAATGCAAATCAGAAACTGACAAGTATTCCAACTTCATGCATGTTTCTCTGGCCTCTTGGTTTGTTTCACTGGAATCCTTCATTATAACTGCCCCGCTTAGATCGTCATAATGATATCTACAAACCAGCACCAGGAAAGGTTCACTGCCAGCCTGCTACAGACCAGGCACGTGGACACAAAGAAATGAAAGGCAAACGTCCTTCTCTTCACAAGCTTACCTGCTGAGGAAACGGATGTCCACAGGAAGACAGTGTCATTCCTGGATGGTTGGGATGGAGGGCAAGGTGGTGGCCAGTCTCCCATGGGACACCCACCCCTCCGCCGCTCGCTCTGTTTAGTGATGTAAGATTTCCACCACCTCGCAGTTTTGCTTCTTTGCTTTTTAATTTAGGAGTGTGTGGGAAGGACAAGTCCCTCAGCAGAGGAAAATACAGGTAAAGCCTTACAAATCGTATGCCCAAACAAACCTTGGTTTGACAACCCACCAGAGAAATAAGCTACCCAACCAGGAGTATTTCCTCTGCACCGTTGCCAATGCGGTCGATAAAACACGCAGGGTTTCTAAAACCTCGAGAAGTACCCAGTTTCATTTCCAAACCCCCTATCTTATTCTGATTATATAATTCAGCCTTTTAAATGCAGACCAAGGGAAAGGATACTGCTACAGATGAAAAACTGGGCAAAGGGCCTCCACCACAGCTACACGCCATTCAAACAGAGTCAAAGCAGTTTGCAAAAAGAAAAAAACAACACAAAAAACCCTAACAATAAATAAATAAATAATAAATAAATAAATAAAGCAGTTTGCAACCAGCAGGATTCCATTTAATTTTAAGTCATATAATAGCTTGCCTTGCTTATTAGCCATTAATCTCACTGGGAACTTGAAATTCTAATTATGCAACTAAACACTAAGAAAATTTAATCACACAAGCGTGCTGTAATTTAAGGCAACCCTATCAACCTGAAAAGTCATTACCTACCTCATATTTTAGCTTACGTTGAATGGTGCCATTGTGAAGTTTCTCATTATCCTGAAAAGAAAATAAAAGCCCCCTATATTAAATTATAGCATGTTCATAAAGAGGGGAAAAAAAGATTTGATTAAAATATTTATGAGAACAAAATTCTAAGGAAACATACTTGTCATTCCACAATGACAACCCTTCTTGAGAATTTATATTCCCAAGGTAAACGGGACTCTATCGATACATCTGCCTGTAAGGGAACTGAACCATTTATTCCTAATCTTAAAATTCGAAGAACAACATTAAAGGCAAATTTCCTTAGGACACTTCTTAATTTGCAGGGTAGAAATGAAATGACTTTATTTTGATAAAAATCAACTTGTCACAAGTATGTATCTTCTCAAAGGCAAAATTATATTTCTACTTGGGATAATTTATCGAGTGAATTTAAATACTTACGGAAATTGATTATATTTTTGGAGAAAACAGAAAGGTGTTACGTGTAGCATTTTAATAAATCAAACAAAGTAAATAAAGCACTTCAGGAAACTTCATATTCACTTAAGCATTACCCCCAGAAGTTCAAAATTTTAAAATAAAGTTACTCTTGAATTAATACTATTTATAAACTGTTAAGCTCCACCCGAGCAATATTTAATATTTCTACACATTTTGCATCTCAATTTTCTGAGAAACAGTACATAAAAGACCACCCCCCAGCTCCTTACTGAAAGGTCATCTTGAAGACGAATCACCAGATCACCTGCTCCTCCACTCACCTTCACGGTCTCGGCAGGTGCACCACTGCCATCGCCAGCCACACGGTGCAGATCCTGAAGGCGCCTCTGGACTTCTTCTTCAATGTAAGCACTGATCCTGGAAGCAAAAGAGATGGGGGTCCGTGACCGCTTCTAACCGCACAGGACATTCTGAGATCTTCTCGTTACTATGCCCTTTGCGACTGGGAACCTTCTCGTTCTAAATGCCAAATGTAATCACAACTCAGGATCCGGAACATTTGTCAACTTTCTAAGAAATCGAATGCCGTGTGTTTACTATCTGGGTTTTCCCCAAACAAGAGTGGCATGGACGTATAACCAAATCTTGGGAACAGAAGGGAGACTCAGTGATCCCATCCAAATCACTCCCTATGTCCTGAGCGGAACCCCTGCTGCAGGACAGGGGAGAGTCGCAGACTCGGGTTCCAGATGACTCTGCGGTCTCAGAAGGCATCACTACCCAACACTTCATTCACCGAGCCTCCGTTTCCTCACACAGAAAACGATGATTCTTATTTCTCACAAAACACAAAGTCATTTCAGAGGATGAAAAGGAAAAACAAAAAGTAGATGCACTCTCCACAGACCTTCACTATTGGATGGAACAATGTCTCACATCATTCCT